ACAAAAGGAATGAGTCCTCACTTCTTTAAATACCGTGGTTCTGCCTCAGTCTTCCTATGGAGGATTTTTTTGTGATTTTGAATTCTAAATGAGCTTGATATTTTATTTCAGTCACTTTAAACTCAGTTTACGCATTTTGATGTGATTAACATTTAAAAATGACGTATTCGCTTTAAAAATATTGTTATATAACAACAATTTATATTTCTGAGCCCTCAAATTTAATGCACTGTGAAATTAAAAAAAGACGGATTATTTGTTCCATCAGAAATTAAACATTAAATTTACCTGAATTCATTTATTTGAATTTTTTTTTACATCTTGAATTTCTGTCACTGATTATCAAGTTCATGTTGTTCATTTCAAAATAAAAAAATGGATACATATATTTTCAAGAGCATAAAATCAACAGCCGCGAAAAAATAAAAATTTGAAAAACTTGCATGACACATCCAATGTTCTGACCAGTTGTGTGCTCAGTCAGTTGGTCTGCGCATGCGTCACTTTATCGGTAAATTTGTGTAAGCTCTAAGTCGTACAGGGATTAGTCAAAGCAAAGGCAGGTTTCCTTCCTTTGCCCTGTCACTTTATCGGGTTGATAACAAGAATCTAGCAGATTGATATGGGATATCTAATGAATTAACTGTAATGTATCCATACAGAATAACAAGATTATACCGTATTCATTTGATGAGTTAGTCTTTTTAACGATTTGGGTGAAAGTGGGGATCCCCATTAGCTTCCACCAAAGTGGTTGCTGATCTTCCCTGGGTCCCAGTTAAAACGAGTGTATAAAAAAAAAAAAAAAAAAAAAAAACATTCATTACTACAGTACATTAGTCAATACAATACGTTAATTCACTACCATAATGTTAAAAGCATAGATCAAATAGATCAAATGCCAAGTCAGCATCCGTAAACAACACAAGGCATCAAGGCATGAAGCTATGCATTATAATGATGCATTGCACATTTGATATTTGAGTTTTCTTTTAAAAATATGAAGTAACATCTGCTAGCATCTTTTCTTCAAAAAGTGCTTGTTGCAGATCCTTATTGCTGTGTATTCCTGTTTATCTATTTAGGCTCTGTGTGTTTGTTTTTGTACAGGAAAACCATCACATGTTGAACATTTATAGCAACAAAGGACAGTATCATTGTTAGTAGCGTTTACACAGCATTTCGGTCTATCAGGTGCAGCATTAGTTTCCCTGTGTACTCTTGCCGTTTCCACTGTTGCCAGTGACAAAAAAACATTTATTCCACAGCTTGAACTCTTGTGCAAAAATTGGTATTTAATGAGTTGTCTCTGAAATAAAGTAACAATGGCATGAAAACTGCATGGCTCCTTATTTCTTCAGCTCTGCTCTGCTCACTCATTCACACCTCTGTAAACAAAGCAAAACTTCTTTCTCTCTCTCTGTAATGGTAACGTAAATATTCTAAAGCCCTATTCGTACGGGATTAGCATTACCTGTGGTAATTTACGAACATCGCAGAGGACGTCTGAGATCTTAGTCCTTTGCGAATGCACCATGTCTGTAATTTGTAAAGTAATAATTCCACTGCCCTCCTGTGGACTCACCACCTGCAGAGGGTCAGTGAGGGGCTGGTGCTATGAGACTTGGGTGGCATCTCTGACTGCCACCCCCCTGACCCAGAAATGGATTAAAGGGTAGAAAATGGATGGATGGATAATTCCACTGCAAATTATCTCCTGTATTTGTCCAAACACAGACGTCCTGTGATAATACTGATCCAGGGCGAATCTCCATGACATGACATGACATCGCCTTTCCACGTTGTTTTTTGTCTATATCTTGCGCCTTTTCATATCTCTTCCCAACTCAAAACATGGAGGCTGTGGTAGAAATGCTGATTTGCAGTTTTGAAGTTTTTTGGCAGCAAACTTAAAGACTGCTCGTACACATCGTAAAAGCAGCAAGTGACAAGCGCCTATTTTTAGATAGGCGCTTGTTTAGATCTAAAGTTTAAATACAAGTGATGTGGGTGTGGAGCTAATCTAACGCCAAGGACCATCAGCACAAACAGGTTTCCATGTGTTTTCACTGGGAGCCACATCACTGCGAGCATCCTTTGAGGTGCGTGAAGCGGAGAGACTGTGTCAGTGAAAATAAAATCATTTACAGACATTGCTTATCCCGTGTAAATGCGCTGCAAGTATCACAGAGGTGGGGCGGTTTACCAGAGGTACACAGGTAATTCTAATCCCGTGCATATACAGGGCTACTCTATACAGTATACCAACACCCCTATGTTTTCATTTGGAGTTAAGATGTATCTAGTCCACTTCGAAGCAAAGTATAACTTTAACTGACAGAACGTTGAACTAATAAAAATACATCAATAGTAACGGAGAGACATAGCAACAAAAGATTCCAACTTCAGTGAAGAGAAAACAGAATTCATTTGTGCCTGCGCAGGCCAAATGACTGAGCACACAACCCGCCAGAACACCGGATGTGCCATGCAAACTTTTCACCAATGTATTTTTTCGTGGCAAATTAAGATGTTGATTTTAACCTCACTTAAGATTCCTGTTCCTCCTCAGTCCAGGTCCCTGTGGTTCTGTCTTAGTCAAGGTATCTGTGGTTCTGCCTTCGTCCAGGTCCCTGTGGTCCCTGTGGTCCCAGCCTGTCCTTAGCCATCTGTAAACTCTGGTCAATTATGATTTCCCTGCATGTACCGTCTGGGTCAAGTCCTGGTGTCTGCAATTCCATTGGTTGAATCTCATCCAACCAATCAGCGAGCATGAGAGGCAGGTGTTGTAGGTAGATGTGGGTGATGTCAAATGTTTGCGCCGAAATAGCTGGTTGTAGTTTGTCAATGGCGAAGAACTCGATAGTAAAGTAATCCGTTCTTGTTTGTGCACGCTCTTAGTCGTACAGGGATTAGTCAAAGCAAAGGAAGGTTCCTCACCCATCATCTGTACTTCTTAGCAGGTTTTCCCGGCGTATCGTCCTTAAAGTGGTTCTCACCCCCACTCCTCGGAGCTTAAGTCCCTGACATTTCCTGTTCAAATCTTCCTCTAAATGGGCGTAGCCTGGAGGACTAAAGGGGGCGTGAACGAGACTGGGCCGTTTATATAGCTCTGGGCGGGGGGCTGCTGACGTCAGGTCTTGCTTCAGACGTCAGGTCTTGCTGCCGCGCCAGTGTTGGCGCCAGATTCAAAATTCAAATGTAGTAATACAGGTCGCCAGCAGATGGCGCCTCACAGACGGTTTTAGGCAGAAAGTTTAACTTTCAACTAATTTGCACTAAAGTGACAAAATTATGACCAGGATATGTAGACAACACTATTGGACACTCATTTATACCGTTTATCAGCAAAAAAAAGTGGATTTGAGGGTGAGTTGTCCTTTAATCCAAAGAACTTTTTCAAGGGAAGGAAATCTCAGATTTTGGAGATTTAAAATTTATGGGTGTGGTTAGCCACACCCTAATCCTGAGGCTAACTCATTAATAATCTGAGGTCTGTTGGATGTGGAAGGGAGCAGGTCTAACGACCCTGCTAGGGCTAACAATCCTAACTCATGAGGAGTCTGCAGAGATAGCTTGAGTGGAGTGCAGGTCTACCGACTCCTAACTCATTAGCACGTCACTGACCTTATTTATTGTTAGGACGTTGTTTTTAGGACGTTGTCATAGACAAATCTTAACCCGCCTCCTCTGTTAAGAGAAGGTTTGTGTTTCCTCACAAAAATGGCTTCTTTCCCCCCTCTCTCAAAACAATTTTTGTCTCAAGCCAGAATTTTAACCTCCGTGTCATTCACGCCTTGCATCTATGACGACGTGCTAAAAACAACGCCCTAACTATAGATAAGGTCAGGGACATGCTAATGAGTAAGGATTGTTATCCCTAGCAGGGTTGTTAGACCTGCTCCCTTCTACATTCTACCTCAGATTGTTAATGAGTTAGCCTCAGGATTATAGGTTATAAATCTCCAATGCGCGGTCTGAGATTTAATTCCCTTGAAAAAGTTCTTTGGATTAAAGCTGCACTAACTGACTTTGGGATTTTGAAGCCGCAGACTCGCTGGCCTCGCTCTTTCTGCTCTCCTCCCCGCACCCACAAAGCTATCGCCCCCCACACACACCCCCGGAGCTAGCGTCTCCCAATATGGATAATACATGGATATGGATTTTCACGTGGATGGCGTGACCATAGAACGATAGAACCGGGAAGCGCGGAGGAACGAGACTTTCTTTTGGATGGCTTTTTCGCTGTGTAAGCAGTAACCGGTGACGAAGACGAGGAAGCTTCAGGTTAGTTCTACCGCTTGTTGTGCTAACTCAGCTGTCTATGCTAACGGACCTATACATTTCTCATGAAAGTGGGGGCTAGTGGTCCGCTGTGATTGGTCACAATTTGCGACCCGAAACACATTCTCTTCCTTGTTTCATCAAAACTCGATCTAAAATATAATGTCACGCCAGCACAACCCTGTGCTACTTTTTCTTCAAAAGGATGTATATCCCAATGCACTACATGGACATGGATAGCATTTTCGTAATGATTACAAAAATAAAGTCAGTTAGTGCAGCTTTAAGGACGAAACGTCAGGAAAACCTGCTAAGAAGTACAGATGATGGGTGAGAAACCTTCCTTTGCTTTAATCCGTTCTTGTTCTATCAAGAAATTGAAGCCGGAGCAAGAGGAATGTTTAGCAAATGTAATTGTTGGCAAATGTAATTGTTGGCAAATGTAATTGTTGGCAAAGATTGTGGCGCTACTCCCCACGGGCTCCGTTAGTGGCAAATGAGATGGTTAAGCTAAATGCTAGCGACTCACTCGGGCGCATTACATACGTCATGGTAAACTCAGATCCAATCAATTCAATCTACAAAAGCAGTTGACCCCTCCCACCTGTTAACAGAGCTCGATGGAGCAAAGCCAGACCTCAGTACGAAATGTAATTTGTACTATGGTGTGGTACGACCAGGCTACTGTGCTACCGGTGGTCCCTGTGCTCCTGTACCTTGAGCTGAAGTAGATGTGTGTCCACATGTCTCCCATCCCTGTCCTGGGACACAGAGTGGGACAGCTGGTTGACCCGGTCCCCTGCAGCTCTCAGCCACTTCTCGATCTCTGGTAAATGTAGAACCACCTTCCAGTCGGCTCCGGTGTGAAGAGGAGGAGGCTTCTGACACCTGCAACAGACAAAGAAGACCTCTGTGAGACCAAGACCTCTGGAAGACCAAGACCTCTGGAAGACCAAAACTTCTGTGAGACCAAGACTTCTGGGAAACCAAGACCTCTCTGAGACCAAGACCTCTGTGAGACCAAGACCTCTGTGACACACAGACCTCTGTGAGACCAAGACCTCTGTGAGACCAAGACCTCTGTGAGACCAGACTGGACGTCTCTGTTGGAGTTTGTAGGAAGTAGGACACTTTAGAAGCAGGAAAACATAGATCTAACGTCTCTAAACAATTGATTTTTTCTAAACGTGTCTTTGTTAAGGCTTTCTCCATGTTCCAACATTGTTCCTCATAAGGATCAGACCTGCAGCTCCCCCTCACTTCTGTTTAAAAGCTACTGTTTCAAACTTTGTACGGTATGATGAAGACTGACAGTACCTTATGTTCAGAGCTGTTTTCTTCCTTTTACAACAAAAGCATCTAAATTGGAAAATACGCTCTTTCCATAGACTGTATACAGAGGGACACAGGGAAGTGCTCATGGTGAAGTTTGGCTCCTCTCTCTGGCTTCTATTGACTTATATTAAAGTAAACTCCCCAAGCTAAGTCACACTTACTCTTTTGGGCTTAAACCCATGGTTTATTGCTCTCTCTGATCCTGCTGTTTATATTGTAATATTGTCATTGTAAATCCAGCTTCTAAGGATTGACCAAACAGAGGCCTTCATATGAAGGGCTTGCCTTAGCAACCGTCTTAGAAAAACTTCTGCCCCTGTTATGGTGCAAAGTTAACACTGTCAGAACAAGGAAACCAGCTCCAGCTTCTTCCACTACTTCCACATTCTAAGAGATGAAATTCCAGAGTAACTCGTGTCCCTTTAGTGTTAAGAAACAATGGTTGAAATTGGCAGAATGTATAGAATCTGGGCTTATATACAGTACAAGGCTAGGGGGTTCAAAGGTCATTCTACTTTAAAAGGACTTTTCAATTCTCCCCTTAAGCTTGTCCTTTAAGCCTTCAACGCAAATGTGTTCTGAATGTGAAATGTAAAACTGTTTTGAAAAGATATAAATGAATGAACCTCCCTTAAAGCTATAGTAGCTAACTTTCAAACAACAGCAAAGATTGACTTGTAGTTTTTACACAATCTGTACATACAGTAAATCCTCCTCAGGCTTGTTACCTCCTGGAGTCAGTGGTGGTCCCTCGACTGGCCCCCGGTCGACCTGATGATCCACAGTCCTGGTCCAGACCTGGTCCCATCATCTCACAGGGGTAACGCAAGGGAGTGGTTGATGTGGCCATGGGCGACGTGGGCTCAGACCTCAGTGCACTCATCTGGAAAAACAGAAGCTGAGGACACAAGGAGAATGAATCAATATTGTGAACATAAAGTTCAATGATCCACAGAGAAGTTAGATCTTATAGAAGCATGTAATTCAGAGATTCATATTATCACTTCATTACAGCAGTAGTCTCGCTCCTGGTTAGAACCTGGATCAGAAATGTGTGTGTGTTTGTGTTTGTATTTGTGTGTGTGTATGTGTGTGTGTGTGTGTGTGTGCTTGTGTGTGTTTGTACTTGTGTGTGTGCGTGTGTGTGTGTATTTAAAGCTGCATATTGAGATCCCTGGAGGTGATGCAGTGAGCGCCAACAGTCTGTGTGATTTCATGCCTCCCTCTGAGCTTCCAGCTTCACATAAAAAGCCTTTATCCTCGGCCTCTCCTCCTCTGGTTGTCTCCTCCTCTGGTTGTCTCCTCCTCTGATTCTGTCTCCTCCACTGGTTCTGTCTCTTCTGGTTTTGTTTTATTCTGTTTCCATCTGATCTGAGGCTGTCGTGGCCTGGTACCACACAGTAGGAGCCAACACTGGGGCACATTCCATTGTATATACTGTGTATATATACAGTATATACATATATATGGATGCATACATACATTCATACATCTATGTGCAGGAAGGTGTTTTTGTTAGTGGGTCTAACAAGAAGGAATGTGGTGATGATCCAAGACACACATTCTACGAATGTAAGTCCTCTGAGATGACTCCTGTTGTGATTTTGGGCAATGCAAGAAGTAATGTAATCTCACCAGTCTGTTGTAGCTAATGCCGTGTTCTTTGGGGTCGTGTGTTGGGGTGGCAGTCTGACCTCGAGAGACAGTGACCTGCTCGACAAGCTGATCAGGAAATGTGTCTGTGTGATGGGGAGAAGTGTGGACTCTGTGGGAGCTGTGCTGGAGCAAATGATGAGGGCACCACTCCAGGGGTAACTCCCCTCTAAATGACACTATGGCTGCTCCTCTGAGGCTTATATCAGGCTTATATCACTGCGCTGCCGAATAAAACGTTTTAAAAGTTAAAGTTAAAAAATATGTACTATAGTTAGATAGTTAGTCATAAATGTTTATATTTGATGTACTGTGTTTGTATGGATGTGTTTTCTGCTTTTTTTCTACGGGGGATCAATAATATCTATTTAATGTTCATGTGCTCATGTGTTCATGTCATGGATCTATTATATTAACTGGATAGGGTATTACTAGCTTGGAGCTGAATAACCCATGTGCTCGGGGGATTCTCGCGGTACTGCAGACTAGACCAGACTAAATTCACATGGGCTACCCAGAAATTTTCCGCATAGAACTCAATGTAAATTAAAACAGCGCGACCTCAGTTGACAGAGAACCTACAGCTTTAATAAAGGTCGGATTTTGTGGGGATTTTAGTGTCCTTTGTCATCCTGAACTTTTTTTCTTCTTAAATCCTTCGGTTTCCTTCGGTTTTCTTCTTAAATCCTTCGGTTTTCTCGTTCATTTGAACGAGAGACTTAAAAAATTCACAGCAAGTAAACTAGAGTAGACCAAAAAAATCCACCCCCCTCAGCATTGACACACATGTGGAACGGAGCTTTGGGCCAAGAGCCAACTTTTGGTCCATATTGTAAAGACGTTTTTGAGAGGTCTGCCAATGCTATATGTTAGCATTGGCTAATTCTACTTCTGGGTCCAAGTAGAATTTCTACTTTTGGCCACTACTTTTGGCCACTTTTGAGCTGGGACCCTCCCCCACTGGCAGAGACTAACGCAGAGACTGAGGCAGAGACGAATGGTGCTTTCAGACCGGATCATGCGTTGCGTCGGCTTTCAATGCAAAGTCTATGGTGACGAGCGCTCGACCGTCACAATCGTACGCATAATTGGCACGCACGCACGGACTGTTCAGTAGAGACGCACGGACTTGGCGGGAAAGTCAAAGGGGAGGAGCAGGAGCGAAAAAAAATAAATATATAAATAAATATATAAATAAATAAATACAGAAATAAATGCACTTATTCTCATAATTGCATGCATTTCTTTGCAAATGTTATCTTTTTTAAATGTATTTATTTATTTCTGTATATATTTATTGTTTTGGCAGCCACGGTCCTCCATATTTCCGCATCAGCGAACACACTCGAAGCAGTTGCATAAGGTCACGGGAGCATGAAAACCCATATTTTCACAAGCACAGAGTCCCCCATTGACAACCCTGGTTTGAGTTCTGGTGAAGCCTGGTGTGGGTCCTGTTTTGGCTGTTTACGAGTATTTTCAGTCTGCTCGCTCAGTCCGCTAATGTCCCCGTGACCACTTTGCGGCTCTCTGATTGGTCGCTGCACGAACGTCCCAAGGAAAGGATGAGCAGAATCCATCTCCTGTGGGCGTCAATTTTTCGCTCCTGCTCCTCCCCTTTGACTTTCCCGCCAAGTCCGTGCGTCTCTACTGAACAGTCCGTGCGTGCGTTCCGATTATGCGTACGATTGTGACGGTCGAGCGCTCGTCACCATAGACTTTGCATTGAAAGCCGACGCAACGCATGATCCGGTCTGAAAGCACCATTAGTCTCTGCCTCAGTCTCTGCGTTAGTCTCTGCCAGTGGGGGAGGGTCCCAGCTCAAAAGTGGCCAAAAGTAGTGGCCAAAAGTAGAAATTCTACTTGGACCCAGAAGTAGAATTAGCCAATGCTAACATATAGCATTGGCAGACCTCTCAAAAACGTCTTTACAATATGGACCAAAAGTTGGCTCTTGGCCCAAAGCTCCGTTCCACATGTGTGTCAATGCTGAGGGGGGTGGATTTTTTTGGTCTACTCTAGTTTACTTGCTGTGAATTTTTTAAGTCTCTCGTTCAAATGAATGGAGTTGCGCCGGCTGACGCATGCGCAGATGCGTTTTTTCACAATTTTCTTGTGGGCGGGACCACTTGCGGCCATTTTGGACTGCTCCAGTAGAGCACATATTTTGGCCCATTAGTTACAACGGCGGAGATAGGCGTGACTCTGTCCGTTAATATATACAGTCTATGGTCTCTGCCTCAGACTCTGCTGAAGTGTGACATAATCTTTAGTGACAAAGTGAAAGTCCCAGAGGCTGAACATCTGATGCTGTTACGTCTTTAATCTGTGACTCAGCAGACACAGACAGAGGTCCTCTATGGACCAATGTCCTATGTGTTTGTTATTATCCTGTGTTTGATTTTCTGATCTGTTGTTGGGGAATCCAACTATTTAAAATCCTCCAAGATGACTGCTGCTGTGATTTAGGGCGAGACACAAATTAATGGAATTGATTATATTGTATAGTAAACTACATGATGATAGTAGAGTAGAACAAAGTACTTTTCTCCAGATTAAATTAAATTTACGACCACAAAAGCACTTGAAGAGAATGCACCAGTAATTAACAGAGAGGACCATTAGCACAGTAATGCTAACGAGGAGCAGCTAACATCAGTGGGGGTGCTAAAATAATCACTACAGCACTACTACCCTTCACTGAAAAGTTCTGTATCAGTGTGCTTGAATACACTGAGAGGCCTCTGAAGCAGGCTCCAGTCGGAAACAGCCCCTCTGTCTCACACCAGGGGGCGCTCTCATTGTGAATAATGTAGTGAGGCGTTCAGGCTCTCCCTCTTGTTAATCTCAGTCATCTGAGCTGCAGAGAGGAAAATCTATACAGAGCTGGAACATATTTATAAATGAACTGTGCTACCTTCAGACACTATTTGTTTCCATAAAAAATACATAATGTTGTGGGCGAAATGAGTAGCCTAAATGGACTGTTCATTAAAGGATTTTTATCATCTGTCAATAATGCCTCAAATTTCCTCCTTTCCTCAATACATTAATTATGTTTGTCTGATATGCTACATTCATCTCTTTAGAAAACATGTTATAATTTGTGTGAGAAAGAGCCCTATGAGTCACTATCTGACTCTTTGGGCTGATTGGCTGAGTGAGGAGGGTCATCTCTTTGTTCGAAAGATGTGACAGAGGCCAGACACATGAAACGGACGATAAAATCAATCAAACTGAGCCAGCACTAGAGACATGGGTTTATTACATAGCTATAATGTTGTGGTATGAAAGTGAGTAAGTCATGTTTATTCATATGGCATGTTTTTACAGACCAAGGTCGCGGTTTGTTCAGAATTCAGATATAGTTTTGCCACCCAAAATTTACGTCCCCCAGCTTTAAAGCAGTACATGTAGGTGTCTGCAGAGTTTGGAAAGCCTCATGACACAGCATGTTGTGTGCACGTGCCTCTGCTCTCTCCCTGTGATAATGGAGGCTTCTTCAGCTGCTCCCCAGATATGACAGGTGAGATTAACAGAAGATTAGATTACAGGGGATTACAGAGAGGCCAGCAGCTTTATTACAGACTTTATGACACATGTGCGACGACACGGTTGGGCAATCATCCACAAACATTTAACACTGTCGGAAAGGACTCAATTCACCAAGTTACAATCATTCTGAATACAGAATGACAATGCTAACCAACTGTATACAGAAGGGCAATGCAAACATAGACTGTATGCAGAAGGATAATGCTAACACATATTGTATACAGGGGACAATGGTAACACAGTCTGTGAACAGATAGACAATGCTGACTGTATACAGATGCATAATGCTAACCCGCTAGCTCAATGAAGCCCAACAGGGAAGTGGTCAGGGCGAATAAGATTGGCTCACACTGTTGACCATTTTTGTCTTAGATCTATGGTTTAGGGCTCTATGATTCTGGGATTTTATACGGTCTTTGTAAATCTCAAAATGAGCAAGAGAAATGCATTTGCTGAGCTCATACATGATTTAGATGCATAATAATGATAAAAAAGCTGATACGTTCTCTTAAATTGATTGTTAAAATAACTTCATTACAAGGTTTTATACTTAATCAAATGTTTAAAGAAAAATATATTTTCTTTTACATTTGTTTAAGTATACAACATGACTAAAGTCAAAGAGTATGTGTTTGACTGCTATGGAGATAATCTGAGAGATCTTTGGATCCTTGTTTTTTAAATAAAACCTTCAACACAAGTGTGTAAATGACCAGGGAGTACGTGCACAGAAACTGACGTCACGTAAAGTCCCCTTTAAATCTCTGTCAGAGCCGAGAGAGCTCAGAGTGTGGTCAGGATCAGAGGACAGGGCACAAGAAATCTTATCAAAGCAGATCGGCTTCTTATCGATCTGTAATAAACTGAAACAAGAGACAAGGACCTTCAGGGGACCGGGTCTGGACAAGGACTACACCCAGGACAAAAGAGACAAGAGGAAAGTCCAAAAGGAAGCCTGTATAATCTGGACTACAGGACCATGGTCACATCTGCAGGTGACTGTGAGGAGAAGGTGGGATAGAAAAACCGTGCAGATGTGAGTTTAGAAGAGTGAGATGTTAAACCCTAACACACTGACAATAATCCTGGAGAAAGATTACAGCCCGTAGATCACAGCTGCAGCCTGGAGTGCTTCTAGATTAGGTCTAAAGTCAGTGTTAGCAACAGCTGTTATAAGTCATCTTCCTCTGTATAGAGCACAACACAAACCCAATCTAACAGAACACCAAAGACTCCTGGACTTGAAGCATCTGAAGTTGTCTAGAATGGAGGAATGGGAAAGAATTCCACAGCCAAAGCTTCAATAACTGATTTTTTCAACAGTTTTTATCTAGCATTATTGAAGAAAAGCCCAATTACTCTCTTAAAAAGATTAAAGTCAGACGTCAGACTGCATGATCCACAATGGACCACACCCCTGCAACAAATGCATACTTTAAATCCTTAACAGTGTTTAAATAGTTACTAGATATTTGAAAGAAAGACGTTACACATACACATCATAAAACCACTGAAATATAAACATGTTTCCCATTAACCTTTTAATTGTTTCCTCAACTATTTCTCATTTGGTTTTAGGCACTTTTACTATGAACCTGCATCTAAAGCCTTTGGTAAAGGCCTAAAATAAAAATAATAAAGACGTTAAAACAAATTAATTAGTTTTGTTAGTGTCCTACATCTTAGAAAATAAAAAAAATAAAAAAATACATGGCTTGCTTCAAGGAGTGGATGTTAAAGGGTTACACCTGCTTCTAAACAGACAAATTCAATATCTCATCTCTTCACATCTGAAACGTTCTGTTTGTTCAGTTTTAATATATTTCTTTACCAACAGTTTACACCTGTCAGTCAGCAGGTGCTCGCTCCCTGCACCTTGTACTGCTTTATTTGCCCACTTAATCTATACAAATCCCTGCACAAAACATTCTATATATCCCCAGAGAATATCACTCTAAAGTCTATGAAAATAATGCAGATTTTAGTTTAAATGCAGAGCTCTGGATGTGACCAGAACGCCCCGACTCAGATCACAACATCCTCTCCTCCTGACGACGCTAATCACTGCCATCTTCCACACAGCCCAGGTTTAGGACACACTATACCACATTTAAGCTCTTCTCACCGGCTATGCTGCTTAATCCATCGGCTATAGGTGGCGCGGGGCTGTGGATGTGTCTCTTCCCGGGGATGGATGATGGGAGGCGGAGGCTCTGAGGGCGGAGGAGACGCGGTCACACTGCGCTGGAGGAAGCCGGAGGATGCTAATGCTAATGCTAACGCTAACGCCAGCTAACCGTCCAATGAGCGCGAGGACAGTGCATGATGCACGGAATTTACGATAAAAAACAGAAAAAAATACAAATACGAGATAAACCGGGTTAAATACGTGTTATAAACTGTTGCAAGAGTGGTGTGTGTATTGAGTCTGAATAATAAGTGTGAAAAGTGACGAAAAAAAGGAAGAAATGTGTGTTTTAATGGAGAAAGTGTTTGGGATGAGGAGAGGATGATGCGGCAGCTTTACGTGGACTATACCGTAAATGACGTGTCACTTCGAAGTTTTATTTTAGTTTTATTTTTTAACACAATATGCGGAACACACCACATTAAGACTCTAGTGTTTTAGTTTTTCTATTTTAATTATGTATTTATTGTATGTCTTGCTTAAAGCTGGGGTACGTAACTTTCAAACGCAATTATGGACCCGTGTTTTTTGTTCCGGTGTTCTAAAACAGTTGCTTCTATCGCTAATATCGCTAATGTATTTTTAACCTCTGTCGCATCTGTAGATCATAGAGAGAACCCCCTCACTCAGCCAATCATATTTCAGCCTTTCAGGCAGATAGTGACTCTCAGAGCACTTTCTTAAGTATGTGAAATATCTTTTCTAATAAAGGCAGCGTGTTGGGGTTTGATTTCTTCATGTTTTACTTTGACAACACTGTTTCTGTTTCTGCACTTAAACAGAAAATGTAGGTGCTCGAGCTTTAAGAGACGATAAGTGAACCTGTTTCCTTCAGTGGAGACATATCATTATTGCAGAGCACATTTGGAACAGAATGAATACAGGGCATATATCAGACATAAAGGAAACAAGAAAAGGTGCCAAGATAAGAGTAGATGTAGTTGAGCTAAAAATTAAGATTTTAAAGATTTTAAACAGAATCTGGGTCTGAGTCCATTTACTTCTGTATAATGTGAACCTAATATATTCACACCAACCAGCCTATGTTTGTTTACTGAGGCGTAGAACAACATTTGTTCAGATGATAGTCTCTGCAAGAGGAACGCAGTCCTGGAACATCACACCAGAAACTGCAGTAATTACTCACTTTAAAAAAATAAAAAAATAAAAGCTCAAACTTTTGTTGAAAACAAAACAGACATGTACTCATATAGCATGGGATGCGTGCTTTGGACTTTGCCTGGCCTGCCAGACACTCCTCCTTTCTGTTCAAAAGAAGAATGTCTTTGAAAAATGTCTTTGAAAAAGCATATCGTTTGGCAGGCCAGGCAACTTTGGACTTACAGTCAGGCCTGTATCCTAACAGCAGCCAGTCAAGAGAAGAGGACCCTGGATGTGGTAGTGGTGGTCATGGTGGTGGTGAGGAAGCAAGGCTGGCAACTCACCACCACCATTTAAAGAATAGTAGGCAAGGCAAGTTTATTTGTATAGCACAATTTCATACACAAGGCAACTCAAAGTGCTGAACAAAATAAGAAAGCATTAAAATCATAAATAATCACAGTACATTAAAAATGAATATAAATATAAAATCCCTCAGTTGTATGCACAGCTAAACAGAACTATTTTTAACCTGGTTTTAAACATTGTCAGAGAAGAGGCCTGTCTCACATCTTCAGGAAGATTATTCCAGATTTTAGCTCCATGAATCTGAACTGCAGCCTCCCCATGTTTAGTCCTGACTCTGGGCATTAGTAGTTTCGGCCTTCAGATAACCAAAACATGCAAGTGGAAAATCACTGAGTCCTGCATACTGTTAGAATGATGGGTTCAATTTTAACAACAGTTTCTTCAAAGGTGTTATAAAAGATCCATACCACTGCAGCAGTTGTCTCTGAGGACTTTACAAAGTTGTGGATTCACCAACAACAGATCAGAGAATTGAACAGTTCAAATACTTTCAAATTGAATAATAACAAACACATGTCCTGGATCATCACTGTCCACAGACCCTTCTGCATCAGAGAGGAACCATCACAGAGGAACCATCACAGAGGAACTATCAGTTCATAGGCATGATGACTGTCACCAGATCCAGAGGGAGAAAGTGGGAAACCTCAAGAGGCCCACAGTGACTTATGTTTGTAATAACCACATTATGCTATTTCCAGAGTAGTCGTCACTTGTGCGACTTTCTTAAGTATACTACTGTAGCTGTAGTATGTAGCTGTAGTATGTTGATGTGTCACAGCTGGGAGGTAGATCTCCGAAATACTGATTGAGACAGATGCAAAGACACAAATGTGTTAATGGTGCAGAAAATATTGAGTAGCTTTAAGTTCAACTGAAGAAGAGACAGACTGTATGTGCCGTAATGGTGATTCGCAACAGTATCAATTACTATGAATTCAAAGATTGTGATTGGCTGTATAGGACAGAGGCAGAACAATGGACAGTCCTGATCTGAGGAGCAAAGCCTTTGACATGTAAATAAAGCCATGCTGTTGCCTGGAGACAGAGAGGGGTGCTGTGATTGGCTGACAGGGCATGGTCTCAGGCCCCATGAGACTAGGGTTTGGATGGGGAGAGCTGGAAGACACTAATAGATACACACATACACATACACACACACACGCATTCATATCACTATTTCTGGCCTTTGTTGCATCTGAACAATAATTATAATAATACTAATACATCCATCCATCCATGTTCTACCCCTTTATTAGACTATTTCTAGGTGGGGGGGGGAGTGACAATCAGAGCTGCCACCAAATGCTCATGGCACCAGTCCCTCGTTGATCCTCCTGCAGCTGGGGAGTCCAAAGGAAGACGGCTTCTCTGATGATGACACAGCCTTGGTGTTTCAGCAGGGGCTTCAGGCAATGTGGGGTTAAGTGTCTTGCCCAGGGACTCAACTTCAGGCTCAAAGGCCAATGCTCTACCAACTGAGCCACTGTCACCCCACTACTGTAAGCCATTTCTATGTGTTTCGGCTGTAACTGGACACTTGAATTTCTTTTAAAGTATCTATCTTTAGGTCTTATAAGATTTTTCAGACAGAAAAGTAAAAAAGAGAGGACCACCCTCACTCAGCCAATAAGCTCTCATCAGATTATGTGATTATGCTCTTGACTCAGAGAGAACAGCTTTTCAGACTGTTGTGGAATTTCTAAGGAGTGAAATACACAATATTAAATATAAAATAAACAACAAGAGCTGTAATCAAAATCAAAGTGTGGTTTATTATCTCAGTAAATGTATACATATACAGGAAATACATATACCGCGTGGCAGGTCCCGGGTAGATCTGCTGAATAGTGCTCATTCTCTCTCACATTTATAGGATGGAATACACAGAAGAGTCTATCTATGGCGCCTCTGAGTCCGAGATTAAGTGGCAGCTATGGCCCAAACCCCCCTCTCTTCTGACGTCTTACTCTGATAGACTCTGATATTACTCTGATATTAGGAAGAATGGTCAGCCTGACCGGTGAGCCCGCTCTTCTTGCCCCTGATATCAAGCTATAGTATCTGCCTCCACCCCGTCATTGGCCTCGCGTCCCTACAGAACAACAGTTTAGTTAGTTAAAGCAGATTCACATTCTTTGAACTTTGTCCCAGATATCCCATGTCATCATTAGATTCATTCTTAAGTTAAATTGATTTATAATCCCGGTAAGATTTCTATAACAAGACAAACAAAGCAAATTCAACAGGACTGCAATATACAGTAAGTGTAAACCAAACAATATCCAGCATTGCCGTAGGTTTGGGTCTAGACTTGGTGGGACATTCACTTGGGCCAGAGACTACATCCATTGATGGGGGATGGAGTTAAAATAGTAATCATAAACCATATTTGCATTGGTTAGTTTCCTTTTACACTAATCTCAACTGTCTAGATAGAATGAGAGTCAGTTTTCTGATTGGATCAGAGCTGCTAAGTTTTGTGTTGAATAATTTACTAACTTTATGGATTGCTCTTTCACACATCTTATTATTTTTGGCACACACCCAGAATGTGCCTTGAGGGTGCAAGTGAATGTGATGTGAGAACCATGACCTGTAAAGTATTGCTGTTCCCACATGGTGTTGCACTGACCCCCACTGGTCTCCTATGTTCCATTATAATGTGAAAATACGTTTATTTAGACAGAGCAGCTCCAGCTCTTGTCATGGGAATTTGACAGTTTCTCATGCAGATGGTGCTTCCTGCAGGTGAAAGCGAGATCCTGTCAGATAACAGGATCTGCTTAGCTTCAGGGCCTGGTTATATAGTGATGGGAGACCTCTGGGAACAGGTAAAGTGCAGAGCTGTCAGTGTGTGTTGGTGGTGGTGCGAGGGGGCAATGGCACAAACTGGTTACCTCTCTTTTGTCAGTGTGCCCCAGGGCAGTTGTGGCTACAGTAGTAGTCTATCACCACTGGGTATGCAGTTAATGTTTTTGAGCACCAAGAAAAGTGCTGTAAAAAACCACAGCATTATTATTACCCTAGGAGAGGTCAATATAAAAATGTGTTCAGTGCAGACTTGGGCTGTTGTATAGCCAGAGTATTACTGCTGCCACAAGCTGAAACAAACACAAGATTCATATTTCATACCGTGTTTGTGCCAAACTAATTTGTACATATTTTTTCTTTTACCAATTACACTGCACTTAATTTGACACATTTTCAAGCCTCTTTTCCTCTTAATAACAATACACTGTGATCCTAATAGATCCATGACTGACAGATACAAGAGAGAGTGGCGTTTAGGAAAAGAGAACCTTTATTTGAAACGTTATGGAGAGTTTTCCGGAGTGTACAGCATCGATGGCACATGAGACATGTGGCAGCTGATCAAACCACCACCTTCTCGTCGGGACATTTCTCTACAAAAAAAAAAAAACGTCCCAAAAATCTAAAAATTATAATTCGTTTTGGGTTTGTACACGTTTGAACCCACACTCACACAGAGGCAGAGCACTGTTCAGACCTATATGAGGTTGAAGACTTTATAACAAGCTGGATGTGGTTCGAACAGAAACATGACAGAGATGTTGTGATTATGAGGAGGTTGCAGATTGCTCTGTCCAGTGTTCAGGCAAACACATCGGTTTGTGTTCTGGCAACTTTAGGTCGAACAACAGGAACATGCCTCAGTCCTGGATCAACAGCCTCAGTCCTGGATCTACAGCCTCTCAGTCCTGGGTCTACAGCCTCAGTCCTGGGTCTACAGCCTCAGTCCTGGATCTACAGCCTCAGTCCTGGATCTACAGCCTCTCAGTCCTGGGTCTACAGCCTCAGTCCTGGGTCTACAGCCTCAGTCCTGGGTCTACAGCCTCTCAGTCCTGGGTCTACAGCCTCTCAGTCCTGGGTCTACAGCCTCAGTCCTGGGTCTACAGCCTCAGTCCTGGATCTACAGCTTCAGTCCTGGATCTACAGCTTCAGTCCTGGATCTACACTCTCACAAACATCACAACATGCTGGTACCCCACCTCAAGTCTGGAGTTATAGAACTTTACTTATATATATATATCTGTCTATTATAGGAAACAAAACAAATCTATTCAACCAAAAATAAGATGATTCTGACGGAAACAAAAGCATTTGGCTCTAGAACCAGATCCTGATAAAAATCCTTTACAAGTTTATTATTATTTTTCTCTTTTGCTAAAACGTTAGACATGCAGAACAGGAGGAAGAGAGCGCCTCATAGTGGTCACACGGGGGTAACACAGGTTCAGGAGGAGAGGCCAGTTCACAGTGAGTTCAGCCTGAGAGAGAGAGAGAGCCCTGGGAGTCACTATCTCCCTCTTTGGACTGAGAGCTGATTGGCTGAGTGAGGGTGGTCCTCTCTTGGATCTAAAGACGTCACAGAGATGAATGAAACAACTGTTTTATAGCCAGGAATTTCATTACATTGTTGTGGTTTGAAAGTTACGTACCCTAACTTTAAGTTCCTATTGCACTGGATACTTGTACCTGTAATAGAATATACAGTATCTAACACTGCTTCTTTAATACGCTAAAGTTGTAGATTGTATTTTATTTTAGTATAGTTATTGTACCCTTATATTGTGCTGTGTGATCCTCATTCCTACTGTTCTGTAACTGCTGATGCAACAGTTCACTGTGGGACGAACAAAGGATATCTTCATCCTCGTCTTCACCATTTACACCTCTACTTTGCGCAAAAACAGACACTTATGACAAATATGAATGTGTTTCCATAAATAGTTTAACATATATTGCTACTCTCTCACAAAACAGCTGGTGGGAAATTCTCTTGTGTGTGTGTTTTGTCTTGTCCATGACAACGGTTGCTAAGGCGCTTTTGCTACCTCTTGGATCGATAAAGCAGTCCCTTTTTTTCCAGAGTGTAGATGAGTAAATGTATTTTCTAAAGTGTTATGCAATATACAATAATCTGTATCATTTCCAGACTGTTCTGTGCTTTATCTATGTGTCCTGCAGGGGGGGGTCTCTGTCAGAGCAGTGGTCGCTATAGTAACAGGACCAGCTCCAGACGTTGATGCTGTTCAGGACTAGAGCTGAGGATTTGGCCTCTTGTACATGTGTTTAGTGGTAGGGGACTGGGAGCACCTGGAGAAATCCTACACAGACACGGGGAGAACATGCATACTCAGAATGGCCTGGGATATGAACCCTCTGAACTCACTGTGAACCGCCGGATCCCGTCTTTATCTTTGAGGTTTTCAGTTGGCCATCTTTTTACATTTTTGCATTAAAAACTTGGCTACAATTCATCTGAATGATTTACCTCCCACACATACAAAAGAAACTGTTGAAATCACAAGGTTGGAGATCAGCGCGTCCTTCCACCTGCAGAGCGTCTGAATCAGAGTCACAGTGGAGGAAACATGGCTTTGACCCACATCCAGGGTACGGGACAGAAGGGAAGACTCCACAAACACTTCCCTTTGGTTCCTGTTGTGTTGTGCTCGTGCAGATCACAGTCTGCTCTGTGTCTTTCTCACAGGTATGTGCCAAAAGTCAGACATCACAGTCTGAAGAAGCAGGAAGTGGATCAGTTTTTGTGCATAAACGTTTGTAAAGATCATAGTCAGTCCAAGTCAAACAGTCAGCAATGATAGTGGTACGATTATCAAGTCTAAATAACTATGGACCCGAAATTTGGCTCATTCCTCAACAGTCGGTGGTCAATGGTACGGGATGCTAGCGCTCTGATAGATTTGAGAGGCCTCCCTTCTGCCTAAACTCGCTTTTCAAACTGGTCACACTGTGATATCCCATGCAGAGCTGTTTTCTGGTTTGTTTGGGACTGGGTTCCTTAGTCCTAGTTCTTGAGTGGTTATTTAATCTCATTTAGTTTTAGTGCGAGTCGCACCAGGTCCCCCATGGTGAGGTTTTCTCCATCCCCTATGGTGACGTCATCCACCATGGTGAGGTCATGGACAGAGGTGGTGTCTGTCTTTATTAAACTAAGGTATTTGCTTTTAAATTAGTTTTGTACATTTCAGGTAGAGCGACGTCCAGTGCCCAGGAGTAAGAGCACACTTGTCCTGCTTCAGTCCTGGGTTAGTCCTGCTTTAGACCTGGTCCAGACCTGGTTTAGACTTAGTGCAGCCTTAGATCAGTGGCTCTGTCTGTATGTGCTGGACCTGCTGAATCTGCTGTGGCTGCAGGGGCGGGGGCAGCTGCAGTGGGAGCAGGGCCTCCACCATACTGTGACACTGGTGTGGGGGGGGAGTGCCCTCACTACTGCTGCTCTCGGCCACCTCTCCTCCGTAGAAGAAGAAGTCGCTCTGGAGGATGAAGCACTCCACCACAGACTGGTTCAGCTTTGTGGTGGACAGAGTCTCCATGTTCTCGAAGTCTGGACGCATCAGTGTGGGCCAGAAGCAGATGGACAGGTTGTCAGCGGTCATCAGTGTGGTCTTACTGTGATGGGACACCCTGCCAGAGGACGTAGAAGACATGAAGGGTCTCTGTCTCAGTCTCTGCCCCAGTCCCTGCCCCAGTCTCAACCTCAGTCTCAACCTCAGTCTCAACCTCAGTCTCAATCTCAGTCTCAATCTCAGTCTCAACCTCAGTTCTCACCTGTTCAAATGGGAGATGATGTATTTAAACACGTTGAAATTCACTGGGGGAAACTTCTTGACGATTTCCCTCAGAACAAGCAGACGCTCCATGTAGTCCATGATCTCTGCAAGAGAGAGAGAGAAAGAAACCAGAGAGAGAGAGAGAGAGATAGAGACCAGAGACAGAGTGATTAGAGACCTCCAAACATTACTCAGTCTGATGCAGAGACACAGAAACATCACAATCTGAACACAGTGCATGTGTGCAGTGTCTCTCACAGACAGCAGAGGGCGCTATAGCACTACCTTCAGAGTCGTATTGAGGAGACATCACTCAATCAGTATCACTTACATTCAGTTTTCAGAGCTCTACACCAGATTTCATATACACTTTTCTAGTGAACACTAATAATAATGCATTGTAGTCCTGGATCTGCATTGATCTCAGTGTCTCCGACACGACACAAGTGGGGGCTCTCTCTGGAGCTTCCCCTGATCATCCATCACTATAATGAGGACATCAAATCAGGCCAGAGGTTAAAGGCCTTAACCGTCTGTGTTTCGGAAAAGATTTATCTCCAGGAGCCGGTAAACATTTGAACAATGAGCAACAATGGTTTCTGAGGATTCTCATGGTTTGTTTCTAAAGCAGATTCTTCTACAAAAATAAATGTGTTTTCTATGTTCAAATGATAATGGTTTCTCTCTATTGTCTCTTTCTCTGGTCCCTCTCTCTGGTCTCTCTCGCTCTGGTCTCTCTCTCTCTCTGGTCTCTTTCCCTGATCTCTCTCTCGGTTCACTCTCTCTCGTATCCTCTGATGGTAAAGCTACATACAGCTGCAGCTGTAAGCTGCAGCACCAGCAGTAGTAGCAGTAGTAGCAGTGACTTACTTGCGGCCTCCACCAGCTCAGGGTGCAGGCTGTAGGGGATCAGAGGCTCTGGCAGATCTGCAAAGAACGCCTTCAGAGCTCCAGCCGCCGCATTCACTGCCACGTCCAGCTCCAGAAGGTCTATACTGTGGTCTGTGGAGAGAGAGAGAGGTTAGTACGGCTGCTGTTGCTACTGCTTCTAATGCTGCTACTGTCTGCAGAGAGAGGAGCAGCTCTAATCCTTTATTGACAGTTTGTAATGTTGATTTATTCTCAAAGACACAAACACAGACGAGTATCTTTACAATGAGAGTTTGAGTTCCAACTGATCATCAAATTAGATCGCAGAATGTGTCACACATGACTCATTTAGGGTGAAATACCATGTTTTGAAGTTTATTGAATCTGATCTGAATGAATGCAATAGTAAGTATCCATAATTGTCTCTCACTGGTCTCTCTCACTGGTAGCTCTCCTTGGTATCTCTCTGTGAAAAATACCTAAAACATCTACCTTTTCATGCAAACATATCTACACCACATACAGTAAACAGTATTGTCTTGACGCTGTCCTTTTCCACTGGTCCAGGTCTGTTGCTATGGTCCTGGTCTGTTCCTATTCTTCCACAAATGTTCAGGGGATATTTTTTTTTCTTCAAAAAAAAAAAATGCCCAGAATCTGGAAGCAATCAGTAGAATGGACGCCTCTTTGGAGACTGGAGTTCGGAGCTCGAGTTTCAGCGGAACGAGGAGAGAATTCCCCCAAAAGAGGGAGTGAAGGTGAGAGCAGCCGGCCTGGCCTCAGTCCAACCTCAGACTAAAGTCCCTGGTATTTCAGAGTCAGAACCCTGAGCTCTCTGAAGTCTATGATACACCTTCTACAGTGTGTTTGTGGTGCACCTTGGTCAAACAGCTTCTGGATGTTGTCCTGGTCCGTCTTGTTGCCACTCACTCTGTAAAGGCCTTCTGTGGTCAAACCTGAGGAACACAGAGGAACACAGCTGTAACATCTGCAGCAGTAACATCTGTGTCAGTAAAATCTGCAGCAGTAACATCTGTGTCAGTAAAATCTGCAGCAGTAACATCTATATCTGTAACATCTGCAGCAGTAACATCTGTATCTGTAACATCTGCAGAAGTAACATCTGTATCTGTAACATCTGCAGCAGTAACATCTGTATCTGTAACATCTGCAGAAGTAACATCTGTATCTGTAACATCTGCAGCAGTAACATCTGTATCTGTAACATCTGCAGCAGTAACATCTGTATCTGTAACATCTGCAGCAGTAACATCTGTATCTGTAACATCTGCAGCAGTAACATCTGTATCTGTAACATCTGCAGCAGTAACATCTGTATCTGTAACATCTGCAGCAGTAACATCTGTATCTGTAAAATCTGCAGCAGTAACATCTGTATCTGTAACATCTGCAGCAGTAACATCTGTATCTGTAACATCTGCAGCAGTAACATCTGTATCTGTAAAATCTGCAGCTGTGAAAATCACACTCACAAAGACTGCAATTATTGAAGTTCTTTGTAAACAGAAAAGGAACTATTGAAATGCACAGAATTTGTGAATCTCAGTCTCTCTGGTCTCGCTCTCTGGTCTCGCTCTCTGGTCACCGCCCAGAAGATGTCCATCCATCCATTTTCTACCCTTTAATCCATTTCTGGGTCAGGGGGGTGGCAGTCAGAGATGCCACCCAAATCTCATAGCACCATTCCCTCACTGACCCTCTGCAGGTGGTGAGTCCACAGGAGGACGGCTGCTCTCTGAGTGTGAGCATAGCCTTGATCTTTCAGGGGGGGCTTTGGGCAAAGTGGGGTTAAGTGTCTTGCCCAAGGACACAACAACAGCAGTCATCAGTGGGAGTCGGTGGAGAAGGTGCAGAGGTGGGAATTGAACCCACAACCTTCTGGCCTTAAGGCCAATGCTCTACCAACTGAGCTACTGTCGCCCTAAAATCATCCAGCAGCGACAGAAAGAGTCAACAAATCAGATATTCAAACATGTTCATCTTTAGTCTAAGAAAGAGCCCTGTGAGTCACAATCTGCCTCTTTGGGCACTTTTTTCAGAAAAATCAATAGTGATGAGTTATTGACAGTGCTGGGTAGAGTACTTTGAAAATGTACATGTATTTTTTCCCAAAATACTGAATACATTACCTAAAATGTATTTTGCATAGTATTCCGTAACTTTGGAAAAAGTAGTGCCGGTATTCCGTTTCAATAAATGAAACATGTCCTGTAATTATTTAATCATTTCTTGTTTATTTTTGTAAAATATGTCAAAGTGCTTCAACAGCTGCCATTTATCAATGAGAATCTTCACTCTAAAAATATAGAATATTTTATTTTTATAACCTTAAAATGTAAAAATAGAAAGTATGTTTCTCGTGATTTTCAGAAAGTAACTTTTCTGAATACTAGACTTTAAAGTAGTAACTGTAAGAGAATACTCAGAACTTGGTGAGGTCTCTCTCTCTGGTCTCTGTCATGGTGAGGTCTCTCTCTCTGGTCTCTGTCATGGTGAGGTCTCTCTCTCTGGTCTCTGTCATGGTGAGTTCTCTCTTTGGTCTCTGTCATTGTGACCTCATCTGTTTCTGAGTCTCAGAGGATCCAGCCTCTGATGCTGAAGGAGGATATTTGATCACATTATCAGATCCTTGGACTTCCTGTTCCTGGAGCCTCACTTCCTGTTTGTTATCAGCAGCTGAGTCCACAGAGACGGCAGGTGTCTCTCCTGACTACACACACACACATACACATACATGAATAATAGTGGGGGCAGGTCCCGGCTCAAAAGGGTCCATGAGCATGTGGACCCTGACATGCTTGCCATTTCAATCCTTGCAGGTGGTGATGTACACCAAAACAGAAATATCCCTTGAATTCTTTTTTTTTTTTTTACAGCCTGATCCAAAAGTTGGCTCATGGCCCAACGCTATGTTCTGGATCCTGTCAATGCTGCAGAGAGATTTTTTTTTTTGGACCAGTTTAGCTGCTGTGGACTTCAGAATGCACTCGTTAAATGAACGGGGCTAGTGCCAGCAAATTCTTTTTTTCACATTTTCCTGCAGGAGGGGCTGAGGAGACAAGAGAGAGACCAGAGAGAGACCAGGGAGAAAGAGAGAGAATGACCATTCTTCACGGCCTCTGGGCTCAGATTGTCCTCTTCTTCACAGTGGGTTAAAGCTGTCAGCAGCGTGCAGTGTACTGGGACCATCTCCAGACGTCTGTATGAATGCCCTCCTCCCTCCTCTGGTCTCTGATCCCCTATGCCCTCTCCCCTCTCTCCCCTGGTCCCCTCCCGCCCGTGGTCCCCCCTCTGCTGTATACCAAGTGTTGTCCCTCCTCTCATTAAAACACAGCCTCGAACCTGGTATTGATCTGCTATTGACCTGCGGCTCTGAGATTCATGAACACAAAGACACAACAACAAAGACAAAAACCACACATTCATAAACCAACTGGTTCTCTGTTTAAACAATGAGGTTAGGCTGTGAATGAGAAGGTATTTGGTGTCTCACTCTCTGGTCTCAACTCTCTGGTCTCAACTCTCTGGTCTCAACTCTCTGGTCTCAACTCTCTGGTCTCTGATATGCAGTGACAGAGGAGCAGATGTCCAGGTTAAACGGTGAATAAGGCTCAAACAGATGGAGAGTTATATATAGACAGAGCCTCCAGACTGAAGCACATTGTACACTTACATTTCTTTATTCATTTTCAAACACAATAGAAATCTTTAATAAACCCAGGTCAGAGCAGACACTGTGGCAGACTGAAGCAGAGCCTGAAGCAGAGACTGAAGCAGAGACTGAAGCAGAGATTGAAGCAGAGACTGAAGCAGAGACTGAGGCAGACTGAAGCAGAGACTGAAGCAGAGACTGAAGCAGAGATTGAGGCAGAGATTGAAGCAGAGACTGAAGCAGAGACTGAAGCAGAGACTGAGGCAGAGACTGAGGCAGAGACTGAAGCAGAGACTGAAGCAGAGACTGAGGCAGAGACTGAGGCAGAGACTGAAGCAGAGACTGAAGCAGAGACTGAGGCAGAGACTGAATCAGAGACTGAAGCAGAGACTGAGGCAGAGACTGAAGCAGAGACTGAGGCAGAGACTGAATCAGAGACTGAAGCAGAGACTGAGGCAGAGACTGAAGCAGAGACTGAAGCAGAGACTGAAGCAGAGACTGAAGCAGACTCTGGATGTTGCAGTTGCAAACATATTCCTCATTTGTTTTCACAGGGCTGTGAGGACATGGGGAGAACATGCAAACTCCAGAGCTTCAGAGCAGGAAAAGCCTGCGTTACATCATCATCATGTAATTTCAAGGTTTAGTGCAACACGCAGAGGAAGTTCTTTTGAGATGAAGCCAAAAATCATGTAAAGTGGAATAGACGAGAGATGAGACTTCAAAGAGACGCAGGACTGGACCAGGACTGAGCGAGGTTCGTAGTCTGATTAGAGCAGAGGACCCTGTACACAAAACTGATTGCTTCGCTAAAAGCACCTTTCTCTCGCTCTCCTAATTGAGGATATTTTTCTTGTACTTTTTATCATCTAAGGAGGGTCATTCTGAACAAGGGTAAAAGACCAAGCTACACTTTGCAATGAATCCTATAAAACAAACTTTCTATAATTCTCTCTGGAGCCGGAAAGATACTTCTAGCTACAGTGATATGAAGAATATTCAATATGTTTATGTTCAATACCTCCGAGCCCAAAGGACTCTGTGTAGATCTGCTGCTCCTCAGATTTGCATCAGCAGTTTTCCCTGAGGTCTGTTTGAGATGTCTGCTCTCGTTTATCGTGCTCACATTAAAAGCTTCCGTGGTCCTGAAGCAGTGACTCTGACTGCTCCCTCTGCTCACAAAGCTAATGGAACAACTGCTGCATGAATATTCAATCATAAACATGAGATCTGACTCACAGAATCTGAGAACAGAGAGACAGAGACTAGGAAGACCAGGGGATCTACAGGTCTCTGCCTCGGTCTCTGCCTCGGTCTCTGCCTCGGTCTCTGCCTCGGTCTCTGCCTCGGTCTCTGCCTCGGTCTCTGCCTCGGTCTCTGCCTCGGTCTCTGCCTCGGTCTCTGCCTCGGTCTCTGCCTCGGTCTCTGCCTCGGTCTCTGCCTCGGTCTCTGCCTCGGTCTCTGCCTCGGTCTATGCCTCGGTCTTTGCCTCGGTCTCGGCTTTAGAGTGCATCAGCAGCACAAACACTTTTTCTCCAGGTTAAATTTCATCATTTTGCTAAGATATGTAAATCACAGGAGCAGACACAGCCCTGAGGCTCGGTCTGCAAGACTTTTACAGAACGCCACATCAGCCGTTTGTGATTGTGACACACACAGACACACATACAGACACACACATACAGACACACACATACAGACACACACACACACACCCACACACACACACACAGAGACTTTTGAGACTCGCTCTGTTAATTATTCAAACCTCGCAGCTGCCATTTGCAGAAACTAAAAAAGGTCAGAAGAGTTCTCGCTTTAGAACGAGTACGATCTGTAAAACACACTATTTGAGGCAAAGACACTGTTCGTACTTGTACCACAGAAGGAAAGGCTGGCATGTTGCATGGACTTGTGTCGCCTCTCTAAAAGACCAAAAAGAGACCAGAGGGAGACCAGAGAGAGGAACCAGAGAGAGAACAAAAAGAGAGACCAGAGAGAGACACCAGACACCTAGAGAGACCACATAAATATATAGACACTTTCCAATATGATTTTCACTAGGACAACTTTATGAAGGAAAGTGCAGTGGAGTGATGTCTCTTTGATTGGCTGAGAAAGGGAGGTTCCCTCGTTGTCACTGTTCTGTCTGAAAAAGCTGCTCTAAATACTATGTGACAGAAGCAACTGTTAGAACTGTAATAAAACCCATGTCTCCTGGCTCCATTGTTTGTGCTTTGAAAGTCTCTATCTACGTCCCTCAGATTCAACTTTAGACACATTAGACAGGGGGCAACAGTGCCTCAGTTGGGAGAGCACTGGCCTTTGAGTCTAACGGTTGTGGGTTCGAGCCCACCGTGAGCCCTTTTCCACCGACTCCCACTGATGTCTGCTGTCGTTGTGTCCTTTGGCAAAACTTGCCAACTGTAAACAGTTGCTTCTGTCACATATTTAGAGCAGCTTTTTCAGACAGAACAGTGACAAGGAGAGAACCTCCCTTTCTCAGCCAATCAAAGAGACCTCACTCCACTGCACTTTCCTCTATAAAGTTGTCCTTGTGAAAATCATATTGGAAAGTGTCTATATATTTATGTGGTCTCTCTAGTCTCGCACTGGTCCCTCTCTCTGGTGTCTCTCTCTGGTCTCTCTTTTTGCCCCACTTTGCCTGAAGCCCCCATTGAAAGATCAAGGCTGTGCAGACAGAGCAGCTATCTTCCTGTGGACTCACCACCTGCAGGAGGATCAGTGAGGGGTTAGTGCTCTGTGCACCAAGCTCTGACTGCCACCTAGGGTTGGGCATCGTTTGCAATTTTCCGATTCCGATTCCGGTTCCGATTCTCACTATCGATTCCTGTTCTAAACGATTCTCGATTCCGATTCTTTGAGGTGCAGGAGAGAGATTTTTTTTTTAATCAAATTTTATTTCATAAGTACTTTTCCTGCCATAAGGCAACAGAAAGTGCTTTACATAAAAACAAATTAAATTAAAAAACAAGGAACACGAACACACACACACACACACAAGCGGTGTTTATGTGGCACCGCCCACCATCATCTCAGAGCGGCTGAAATGTAAACACGTCTCGGTTTGCCCCCCTCCGGGGTGGAAAGCTATGCACAATCAGAATGTAACCTGAAGTAACTAGCTTCCCGAGACACACACGGTACAGTAGGTGGCGGTATGCACCTAAGCTGCTGGTTGCCACCCGCCAATAATTGACAGAAGAATAAGAAGTAAACACGTCTCTGTAAACCGCTGAAAAACGGCTAAAGTGAGAATACTGGAGGATTATCGTTGGACGGACTGACAGATTTGACCAAAGCACAAGGACTCGTGCTCGTGCATCGTGTTTTCTGAGTTTTTTTACGGATTATTACATGGAGGAGGAGCAGGACTTTTTGCGGTCCTCGGCAGGTGGACAGCGTGTTTCCCTTCTTCATAATTACAAAGGGCCTGACCAGTAACTTTAAGGTAAGGAACATCAGTTTTGGATGTGTTTGTAAAGCGAGTGATGAAACTGATGTAGCGTGAGTTTGGGGAAACTGCACCGGGCTAGCACGAGTGTTCAACCGGTCAATACGCCCGTTAAACCTCGCTGTCTGGACTCTAACTTAACCAAATAATATCTGAATTAGTCATTTGACGGATAAATGTTTGCTTCCTTTACCCCTTGACTCAGTTTTATCTGCGTTTGTAGAAAATGTGAAGATACAAGCGTTGAGAGGTTTCTTTGCGATGGCAGGAGTGTGTGGCTGAAGCTAAATGTGGCAAATACTGAGCAAACACGAGCGCGCCGTCTCATAAGAGCTTAATTCACTGAGTTTTTCACAAAGCTGGGTGGACAGCTGCTAACCATTTTTGAAACGTGTCCCCCCCCCACCTTCCAAACGCTTCCGACGCCGCTGTGCGGGCCGCATCCGGCATTTAGGAATCGAAAAAAGAATCAAAATACAAACGTCTTCTTAACGGTTCCGGAACCGCACTTTAGGAACCGGTTCCAAATAGGAACCGGTTCTCGGTGCCCAACCCTACTGCCACCCCCCACCCAGAAATGGATTAAGGGGAAGAAAATTGATGAATGGATGGACAATTGACAGCAGCAGGTGGTCAGACTCTGCAGATGAGTTGAGGAATGCACAAACTATGACTCTATTTCAGTCCTGACCTTCCCTGCTCCTCCCTCGGGGTAGACGTGTTCTATTGTCACTCATAGTTTACAGTCAAAACGCTTTTAACCTCCCCCCGGCAATCCAAGATCGCGCTCTCTTCAAATCTGCACAGTGGACGAGCTCCCACAATGCTTTGCGCCAAATACGCATGTGTAAATGCGTGCCAAAAAAGCAGAGTCAGTTGCATTAAAGAGTAGATTTATAGAAAACTGAGTTCAGGAAAAAAGTTCAGGATGACAAGGGGCACTAAAATCTCCACAAATTGCACCCTTTATGAAAGCTGTAGGTTCTCTGTCAGCTGAGGTCGTGCTGTTTTAGTTTACAAAAAGTGTATAGACTGTGCGTGCTGCTCACAAATAGAGCCACTTTGAGCCAAAACCACAGAGCCGAAACGTCCGTAACACGCCACTAATCAATCACACAAGTGCTTTCTCAGTCCAGGAGAGCTCCATGTTTAAGACATTTTTAAAGAAATGTAAATACTGTTGAGCAGCCACCAGGTCTTCACACCATCCCAGAAGTCAGATCCACATTCGCGGTTCCTCATAACCAGATATTAAAGCTGGGGTAACTTTTAAACAACAGCAGCTCTAACACAGTTTCTCTCTTCCTGATGTGGCTCTCTCTGGTCTGACTCTCTCTGGTCTGGCTCTCGCTTGTCTGGCTCTCTCTTTCATTCACTCATTACTAAATTGTTTCAACAGTCCTCGTTACTGCCCAGAAAAAGATCTGTGTTCACATCATCGTCATGGTAACAGGACGTGCAACACATGCTACCAGAGTAACTGTATGAGACTCTCACCGGTCTTCTCCAGGTACTCCACACATTTCTGGATGAACAGGGGGATGGGTCGCTCCTGGGTCACCAGGTTCTCCAGCGGGACACCGAAATAGTTACTGTCCCAGTTCCTGCGGATGGGCGGATACAGAGGCTTCGTGTTCTTCGACGATTTGGGCTGAAAAAAAAAAAAACACACTCAGCCTCAGTCCTGGCCTCATTCTCTGGCCTCTCTCTCTCTGGTCTCTCTCTCTCTGGTCTCTCTCTTGGGTCTCTCTCTCGGGTCTCTCTCTTTCTGGTCTCTCTCTCTCTCTGGTCTCTCTCTTGGTCTCTCTCTCTCTCTGGTCTCTCTCTTGGTCTCTCTCTCTCTCTCTGGTCTCTCTCTCTCTCACCCCTCCTCTCACCTTCTTGGGCTCCTTGGGAGTCTTGGAGCTCTTCTTCTTCTTCACCTTCTTGTCGTCCTGCTCGGGGTCAGAGGTGATTGCTGGGTTATCGATGCCTTGTTTCCACTGATCAGCCGGAGACAGGAGAGGGTCCTCCTCGCTGCCTCTGTGGGCTCTGCCCTTTTTCTTCTTCTGCGTTGCTGGTCCACTGTCCTCACCATCACTATCCGACTGGAAGCGTCGCTGGTACGCCTTCGTCTTACTGAACAGGATCTTTGACCTGCAACAGGTTTGGGAAAACAGATGTTCTCACAGATGTTCTGGCAGAGGTTATCACAGAGGAACAATAACAGTGGGACGATAACAGTGCGATGGGAAAGTGAGGGTCTGAGATCTTTATATTTGCATCAAACCAAAGCAGCATTGGCTCTGAATGAAATAAACGTGTTCAAACGTCATATGTTTACCTTTCCACAATTCTCTTTGTTGTAAAGAACTTTGTGACTCTAGCCTGAGAAAGACACTATATAAATAATCACTTATTCAGTCTTTATTGTTGTTTGACATTATTATTGATTAGTTATTTTCCTGTGTTTGATCTCTGGCCTCTCTATTTGTTTGGAGGATATTCCCAAAGATAGGAAACATTTCTCTGGCCTCTCTCAGGCCTATCTCTCTCTCTTTCCCTGGCCTCTCAAATCACCTCTAATCTTTCAAATATCACCAGATTTCTACGTGTTATGTATTTGTGGAAAGTTAAGAATCAACACTTTCAGAATAACTCTGGGTTAGACCTGTCCCCTTCTTAACCATATTTATCACCTGTGCTTGTATTTGGACGGTCTGCGCGCCGTAGAGTTAGCTTTGCGTTCGTATCCGTTCTCCTCCTCCAGGCCGCTGTGGTGCTGCCCAAAAGAGTTACGTATCTTAATGAGGCGGCTGTGAGAATCCTCTGGAACGGCGTAGATGTCGTCACTGATGAACCCTCGCGACCTCAGTGTGTCGGCAGGATCTGCGTAGTTCTCGGAGGTCTCCACGTCCTCCGCATGCACCAGTGGCGGCCGGGGCACTCGCCGGTTGCTCCTCATTCCTGCTTCTATTGTTTTGAGTAAGTTAGGGTCGAGTTTCCGCACGTTTGGTTTGGTTAGAACCGGTTTGGGCCGAACCGGAGGAGGCACTTTATGATTGCGTTCGTGTTCGACTGGAGTGCTGTGGATGGGATACTCGTTTCCCTCCAGGTCAATGCGGTATTTGGCTCTCTCGCTGGGAGTGGGTAGCAGCTGGACCTCGTCCCCGATGGGGCTATAGGGGGGTGGAGCCTCGTTATCGTCGTCAGAATCTGGATAGTACGTGGTGTAGGGAGAATGGCTCGGTGGCGACGTCTGGAAGACGTCTTCACTGGCTCCGGTCGAACACTCTCTGGACGAATTATCAAACAGGAAGGAACTCTCGATGCTCTGCTTTTTCTCGTAGGTCTCATTGAAAAAGGGAGTGAAGACTTCAGTCTGTCTGTGATACTGCGACAGAGAGTACAACGCAGTGAATTTGGCTGCAATCTCTGTGGCAATATGTTCCCCTTCCGTCATAAGCTCCTTTATGGCATCGTTCTCAAAGAAGTCAGCCTGGCTGTCGGTGATGGCCACCATCTGAACCGGGATCACGTCTTGGACTTCGGCTAAAAATGCTCGCAGCGTTGCCATGGAGGCCTTGCGTTTGGCAGAATACACTAGGATGTATCCGTGGACCAGTTCATCCTTCCGGACGCCGATAGCTGTGTGATAGGACAGAACTGTCACTTGGATCCTTCTCCGTGTTTCGCCGAGGATCTTATCCAGGATCAATGTGTTGCTCTGGCCGCTGGGACCAGCGCTGCAGCAGTGAGAGTCCAGGAACGGAGACAGGATCAGGTCAACACTGAAGGGGTCCCAGCACATGGCACACATGACGATTCGCAGATCGCACTCAGACATGTCTTTGATGGACGGCAGAGGAGCCAGGAAGTCAAAGCTGTGTTTCATATTGTCTAGCACTGCCCTCAGCCCTTGCTTGATTTGGAATTCTGTGAACTTGCGGGGAAACGCGCCTGTGAGAATGTCAACGAAAGTGCACTGAAGCTTGTTAGCAAGCTGCTGTCCCTGGTGTCTCAGAATCGGGATGTTTTTGCATATGCTGTCTCTCTGATTGGCCAGGATGAGGATAAACGGTAGAGCTTGTGCAAACCGATCTCTGCGACTTCCAGCAATTTCTGCTCGGATTCTGCCGATGCAGTCCCCAATGGAGTTCAGGCTCTCGATGGAGTTGAAGACACAGAAGCACCCGTGCGGTTTGAAGGTGGAGACCCAGGTGTGGCTGAACAGCAGCGTGGAGTTCACATCGACAGGAAGCAACTCCAGTTCGTAAATCTTTCCGTCAAGAGTGTATTCATCGTCTGTGGACTGAGCGCGGACTTCGTTGGCTAGTTCCTGCGCTAACCCTTCCTTCCCTAAGAGACACAGGTTCAGTTTATCCACGCTGGGGCTGTTGTAGTACAGGTTGGAGTGTCCGTGATCCAGCTGAACCAGTCTGTTCGCCAGGACTTGCTCTACTTTCATATCCACACAGTTTGGACCACTCAGACACGTCTCTTTTGTTGGATGATAAACAAACCCAATGTGTTTGAGCAATAGCGACTCTCTGTCTGGAGCTAGCTTTTGCAGGGCTCTGTATCTGGGCTCCTCATTCAAAACACTGTGTATTTCCATCATCTTGTCGCAGGTGGGCGTGGCGTTCAGGTCCAGGTCATAGAACAGCTCTGCGTGTTCGAACAGCATTTCCTGAAACTCTTCTTTGGCGCGCTCCACAATCTCCTGCTGATGCCTGGCATACACATCTCGCCGGTCCATCTCTGTGATGTACTTGTAAGCTTCGTCCTCCATCACGAAGCACATGACCTCCTCCCAGGGCTGACCAGCGCTGATGAAGTGCACTCTATCTAACGTCTTCTTGAACCGCTCTTTCATTTCTCCTCTGCGCTTCTCCAGCAATAAGTGCTGCACGTGGTTGTGGTATATGCGCTCGGCTTCAGGAGTCTCAAGCAGGTCAAAGGGTATCCTCCTGTCGCTGTTGCCAATGTGCTCCGACTCATCCCACGGAGTCTGCTCCAAGACAATGAACCAGAATTGGAAGTCGTGCCGGTTCCGGATCACACCTTGCGCCTCGTGCCACGTCAGATGCTCCACCTCGTCCAGGTTGTTCAGCATGTTGTTCAGGGTCTTGGGCAGCGTGGTGAAGTACTCCTCCCTTCTCTTGCGGATGTGCTCCTGCTTCAGCTGTGCAATGTGCTTTGTGAAGGTGTTCCGTGCTTTCCGTGTCCCCTCCAGCATGATGAAGTCCTCGTAGTCCGCTTGCCCCCTGAGATTATTGCTCACAGTTTTCCAGGAGGTGTGGTAGTCCCGCACAGCCTGCAGCATCAGCTTCTCAAAGCGGTCGGTGACGGAGGCCACCAGCTGCCGCTGGCTTCTGTACGCCTCCAAATACGGCAGCGTCTTGGGCTTCCCACGCGTCTTATCCAACTGCTGCAGCAGCGCGTTGAAACACAGCTCCACGTTTACATTCATCTTGGAGGACGTCTCTATTAGGACCAGGCTCTTCTTGCTCGCCACATAGGCCTGCAGGTCCCTCAGGTGCTGCTCCACGCACTCGTCACATTTGGTGGCAGCAACAACAATGGGTTTCTTGGTTTTGACGATTTGTGAGTAAAGACTGTTGACGAACTTCATCTGGTCGTCAAACTTGCGGTTGCAACCCTTGCTGACGTCTATGCACAGGATGAAGCCGTCAATGTTGAGCTTCCCGTCGGGCATCTGCTTCTGGTCAAAGTCCTGCTCCAGCCCCAGCTGGTCTGTGCAGATGTACATGAGCTTCTCTGCAGACTGCAGCTTGGTGGAGGCCGCCCTCTTGGTGTAGGGCTGCAGATTAGTGCTGCGGTGCGGCAGGAAGGTCTGGTCGTCAATGAACTCTGTTTGCTCGATGATCTGAATGCGACAGTCCAAGCTGTCGTCCCCTCGGTGACACACATCGCCCCAGTACAAGAAGTGATCATTGTTAACCACTCGGCCGCCAAAGTCTATGGTGCTGAGGACAGAGGTGTGTTCTGTGTAGTAGCCGTCTGCCTCAGGGCGGACGTAGCGGTTGCAGAGGCAGGACTTCCCCACGCCGCAGTTGCCCTTCTCCTTCTCCGTCCCCGATAGTCCCACCACACTGAGTGCGAACGTCGGCGCCCGGGCATCCTTGTTTTTGGCCATTATGTAGCCGCGCTCATGGCACCAGGTGTGGTTAGCGGCTCATGGCAGAGGTTTGTGTGCTACGGCTGTACAGGCTGTGCTTCTATCCGGACGGAGATGGGATAGAGCAGCTCTTCTATCACCTCCCTGCAACACAGAAGAAACCGTGGGTTTACAAGAAGAACGCATTTCATCAAGTTCATAAAGTTCATGTAGAATACAGAGAAGAATAGACTGCAATGATTAAAGTTCCTAAAAAAAAACACTAAAGATAAACAATAAACATTTGCGAATTCTCTTGATTTTAGTTTTTGTTAAAGATTTGTCAATGGAACAAGTCTCCCTACTCCCTCTCTTTCTCTGCTCTCACTCCCTAACCCTTTGTTTTCACTCATCCACAATAACCAATAAACTGTTCCATTTAAAATGCATTTGTTTTGACATCAGCAACAAAAAGCCGTAATGAAAAGGCTCTTTCTGCAGAAAACACGGTCCTTTTAAAATATGTAACGTCTGCATAATGAAGCAGCCTGAGGGACACGCACATCTGAGACGAAAAACCTTTTCATTGCAAATGCTACATCTGAGTCTGTTCGTGTCACAGTCAGAACAACTATAAATATAGAAAGGAACAAGTCCAAAGCGAGGATTCAAGACAGCCCTTAATCACAACAGAGGTTGTCTCTGAGGACTTGACAAAATCGTGTATTCACAGACAACAGATCAGAGAATCAAACAGTTCAATAACAGGAAAGGCAATAATAACAAACACATAGAAGCCATTGGTCTATAAGGAGCAGAATGACCCTCTTGCATCAGAGAGGAAGCACTTAGAAAAAAAAGAAAAAAAGTGAGAAACCTCAGGAGGCCTGTATTGAGAGGACTCAGACTGGAACAAGGATTGAGGCTGTACGGTGCAGGACTGCAGAGGGGAGGGGCGTGCAGCAAACAAAACAAAAAAAAGAGATAGATGAATGAAACAAAAGGTGAAAACCAGACCAGAAACATTCCAGGGCAGCTTGTGGGTTCTTTAGACCAGAGGTGTTTTTTTTTGTTTTTTTTGTAGAAAGTTACAGTTGAATACTTTTCACAGTATGATAGATAGATATATGGATAGATACTTTATTGATCCCGTAGGAGAAATTTAGAAACACATCCATATAAACATTTAAGTACATCAATTAGAAACATTTCTAACCAACTACCCAACAATAGTGCCTATCTTTAACTCATAGTGCATGTAATAACTATGAAAGTAATTACACGAGTTAGATCATCATTTTATGGTTTTTTTTTACATTTATATTTATTTATTCAAGAAAGATTAGTGACAAGTAGATTTGTTAGACGATAACTATTTCTATTAAACAAGTAAATCCCGAGACTAAAGCAGAGACTACAACAGGTCTTAAACAGCTATACATCAGGTCTATAACAGCTCAAAAGCAGAGACTAAAGCAGCTCTAAAGCAGAGACAAAACATGACATGTGCTAGGTTCCAGTTCTTTCAGTCTCAGAGTCGCAGCTTTAGTCGACATCAGAATGACATGTTGGACACATGTTTCCTCGCGCTAGCGGCGTCTCTTACATAAGCAGAGCCTCCATCAGTGTGGCTCACTTTGCCGCGGGCTCGGAGAGCGAGAGGCGGGAGGCTCTTTGACAGCAGGAGGCTCTTTGACGGCCGCTGACCTAGAAATGATTGAGGAGAGAGTGGAGGGACAACGTGCTATCAGTATTGTAATCGGAGCAGGCGTGAAACGGCGATTACCCCCCGTTTGTGAGAGACAGCGATGGAGCTGGTTTGTCACAGCTGACGATCCACAATGGGACATATTTCCTCTGTTTGAGCAGGAGAAATAGTTGAAATAGCTGAATAAATTTGAGATGAACAGGGAGCTGGAGAGCAAAGGCCAGGGGAAAGTGGGAACCCAATATGGTGGTGATTTTAAATCTGGGGTACGTAAGCAAAGACCAGGGCAGAGACTGAAGTAGAGACTAAAACAAGATGGAAGCAGAGACTGAAGCAGAGACTGATGCAGAGACTGATGCAAAGACTGATGCAGAGACTGAAGCAGAGACTGATGCAGAGACTGAAGCAGAGACTAAAACAGGACTAAAGCAGGGACTGAAGCAGGACCAAAGCAGAGACTGAAGCAGAGACTGAGGCAGAGATTGAAGCAGAGACTGAGGCAGAGACTGAAGCAGAGACTAAAAGACAAAAGCAGGGACTGAAGCAGGACCAAAGCAGAGACTGAAGCAGAGACTGAGGCAGAGACTGAAGCAGAGACTAAAACAAGACAAAAGCAGGGACTGAAGCAGGACCAAAGCAGAGACTGAAGCAGAGACTGAAGCAGAGACTGAAGCAGAGACTGAGGCAGAGACTGAAGCAGAGACTAAGACGAAAGCAGGGACTGAAGCAGGACCAAAGCAGAGACTAGAGTAGGAGTAAAAGAGAAATCATTGGTCAGTTACTAGAACAAGTCCAAACTCCATGACCAACACTTATTTTTTTCTTTGGGCAAACTACATGTGTGAGAAAGAAATTTAGGTGCCACAGCTTTAAAAAGGAAGGATACCAGGCGATCAGCAGGTTGGATGAGTTCTGAGCCGCTCCTCGACAAGTTCAGACAAACTCGGAATACAATAAAGATGAACTCAGTGTTATTGATCCAAACTGAACAGGACTGAAGCAGAGACTGAAGCAGAGACTGAAGCAGAAACTGAAGCAGAAGCACTGAATCAGAAACTGAAGCAAAGACTGAAACAGACACTGAAGCAGAGACTAAAACAAGACAAAAGCAGGGACTGAAGCAGGACCAAAGCAGAGACTGAAGCAGAGACTGAAGCAGAGACTGAAGCAGAGACTGAGGCAGAGACTGAAGCAGAGACTAAGACGAAAGCAGGGACTGAAGCAGGACCAAAGCAGAGACTAGAGTAGGAGTAAAAGAGAAATCATTGGTCAGTTACTAGAACAAGTCCAAACTCCATGACCAACACTTATTTTTTTCTTTGGGCAAACTACATGTGTGAGAAAGAAATTTAGGTGCCACAGCTTTAAAAAGGAAGGATACCAGGCGATCAGCAGGTTGGATGAGTTCTGAGCCGCTCCTCGACAAGTTCAGACAAACTCGGAATACAATAAAGATGAACTCAGTGTTATTGATCCAAACTGAACAGGACTGAAGCAGAGACTGAAGCAGAGACTGAAGCAGAAACTGAAGCAGAAGCACTGAATCAGAAACTGAAGCAAAGACTGAAACAGACACTGAAGCAGAGACTGAGGCAGAGGCTGAAGCAGAGGCTGAAGCAGAGACTGAAGCAGAGACTGAAGCAGAGACTGAAGCAGAGACTGAGGCAGAGACTGAAGCAGAGCCTGAAGCAGAGACTGAAGCAGAGACTGAAGCAGAGGCTGAAGCAGAGACTGAGGCAGAGACTGAAGCAGAGACTGAGGCAGAGACTGAGGCAGAGACTGAAGCAGAGACTGAAGCAGAGACTGAAGCAGAGGCTGAAGCAGAGACTGAGGCAGAGACTGAAGCAGAGACTGAGGCAGAGACTGAGGCAGAGACTGAAGCAGAGACTGAAGCAGAGACTGAGGCAGAGACTGAGGCAGAGACTGAAGCAGAGACTGAAGCAGAGACTGAGGCAGAGACTAAACAGAGACTAAATCTGGACCAAAGCAAGACTCATGAAGGACTAAAGCAGATACTAAAGTAGCAACAGGAGTAAATCAGCACTAAAAGTAAATGTTGTTGCCACAGAGACCAAAAAACCCACTTATTAGAACTAGGCCAAACTCCATCTGCCTCTGCTTCAGCCTCCAGACTGAAGGAATCTTCCGGAGTCTGAGCTAAAATATGATCATATATCGCACATATGTTCTCTGGCAAAAAGTGATCATTTTGTCTAAAGGCCAATTCTGCATTCACTCTTTATACGCCTCGATATTTGGCTCCTGTCATAGAACCCTGAGTGAACTGAGGGAGTGTGACATCACCACAGTGTGACATCACCAGTGTTAGCCTTAATGCAGAAGAAGATGATGTGAACATAAGCTGGAGCCAGTTGGGCATGTGTTCTGACAGCGTTTGCCCTGATACAAAGCTGACGTGTTGCTAAGACGGTTGTTAAGACGAGCTGAATGAAGGCCTCTGATTGGTTGATTCACAATGGCACTATCACAATATAAACACTGGTATCACATATCAGCAATAAACCACATAAAATGGTGAGTGTGACACAAATGGTTACTGGGCTAGGAGTTTACTTTTACAAGGAAGTCAATCGGAGCCAGAGAGAGAGTGAGAGAGTGAGAGAGTGAGAGAGATTCTGTGTGTCCTCTAACAGCCGGGGGAAATCAATATTACAAAATCAAAAATCAATACAACAACGATGGAGAAATATTGGTATTGATATTTCAGTTTATATACAAATAAACTTGTCTTACTGTGTTTTGTTTTGTTGTGTCCTTTTGCTGATGTTTGTAAAAAGAAATATCCTTTTGTTTTCAGCCTCAGTTTTCTGTGATTCACTTCCTCAGAAATACGGAAATGTGTGTGTGTGTGTGTGATATTTACTCAGTTTACACACTGCTGCAATAAAGAAACAGCTCCAAGAAGATTAAGTCTTTGGTGAATTATTAATCTCATTTCCACTGTGTGTTATCAGTAAATGGTCTTTACACTGGAGACCAGAGAGTAACCAGAGAGAGACCAGAGAGAGACCAGAGAGAGACACCAGAGAGAGGGACCAGAGAACGGTGCAGTGTCTAAATTACATCTGGATTTGTAATATGGAGATGTTTTGCTTATCAAGGCAGTGGGCCACATAACATGACAAATGAATATGGACAAGAAAGGTTTAGACAGAAGTGACAGGGTAAGCTGGAGGAGTACTGTGATACATGTTTAAAACATAAACACTATTTTCTCTGTCCTTCAGAACTCAATTTCTGAGCCTTGTGCAGATCTCAAAGACCTCAAAAGATGGACTGAAGGCGGAGGAGAGCTCTGGACAGAATGGGG